GGGGCTGCATTCGTGCGGGTTCTCGACGCCGTTGATGGTTCCGTTGGAGAAGTCGTCCTCGGCCGTGCACGGGCACTCGAGGCACCGGTGCGCTTGCGCCGGCGACATCTGCCGCGTGTTGAGGATGTGGACGTTGGCGATCCACTCGTCCTCGCCCTCGGTCGTGAAGAAGGCGTACGGGTAGTGGAACTCTTGGGGCGTCCCGCGCGCCTCGGTGCCCGCGCCAAAGCCGACGCCGCGGTACGCGCCCTTGGGCTTCATGGGCGTCCACTTGCCTTCTTGGTTGGCGTAGCGCTGGTGGCGCGAGCCCACGACGTGGTGGTGCAGGTACGCATCGTACGTCGGCGTCGGGATGACCGTGCCGTCGGCGGCGATCTCGACAATGTCGCCGGCGAAGCGGTACACTGCGATTGGGCCTTTCGGGATCTTGAGCACGTGGAACGCGTTGCTGATGCCGCCTTGCTCGAGTGTGATGGGCTGCGTGTAGGCCGTGAACGTCTTGCGCTCGGCGACGACGGCGCCGAGAAGCGCGAGGACGGTGGATGCAAACTTCATGGTGGCAAATCTGAAAATGACCAGCCGATAGATCCGCGATCGACGGTCGCAAAATGTTTACAAACGGTGGGCTTTGGACAAACCAAAACCAAGTTGCACTTGGCCGCGCAGCTGGACGTGTGGTCGACCGCCGTTGCGACAGCGCAGACGACGAAAACCGCAATCAACACCGTGGATGACGTAATTAGTAGATCAACCAGCGATTTGAGTCGTAACTCGTATCCATCCACGTCGCCAAGCAAAGGCGGCGCCCACGCCTCGTCGATGCACCCGTTGGATCCAACTGGAAGGGCAATTTCGACCTGATTCGAATTTTGCCGCAACGGGATTGGTCGAGAATGAAGGTCGTAACAAGCACTATGACATAAGAACTTATTTTGGCCAATCAAACGCCCAAAGGACAAGTGGGTTGCATGAGCTGGTTGGATGATGGCGAACGGTGGGGGGGCATAATATGCTGTCGGCCACAGACTCTTGAAATCTTTCGTTGTACTACCTCCCACCCACGCCATTGAATGGATGCGGCGGGGCATGCACGCTAGTTGCTTATTTATTGCAAAGTCGACATAGACACTAGCCTATAGCCCAGCTCGTTGACTAGAATTGGACTCTCAGCTTCCCCACATCTAATAGTTGAGCGTAGACGATGGATGCAGCCTATGACGTTGCTACATGTTTACACCGACGAGTGTCGGCGACTGGTCCATGGTACGACTTGTGGCATTATGGACAACTTACTGCATGGTCGCCAGCCGAGTGCTCACGTCGACAACATCTTCTTCAAAGCCTCGGCGCCAGGTGTCGTAGCGCGACTGTCGGTGCTTGTCGAACCAATTGGTCGGGTGCGTCCGCATGAGCTCTTGTACGGACGCGTTGGCTTCCAGCGGGACGTACCCAGCGTCCGTCTCCCAGGCTGCGCTCGAGTACCGATTTTTGACCAGCGTGCACGTCTTGCTGACGCGCTCGACGATGGACCTAGGCATTTTTGATGTATACATGTACATGCAGGAAACCGATCGCACCAACTCGACCAGTAGCGCGTGAGGCCACCCCCGCCTCCATGGACGTCGTCTTCTTGGATCGACTGCGTGAGGAAGATGAGGCGCGACGGCTCGCGGACGACCCGGATGATGGTGTTTTGTTGCCACTCGGGCTTGTACACGAAGCGCACGTAGCGAGTGTCGTTGTCGGGGACTTCGAGCACCTGTGCCACCCCTGTGTCGATCGTCCTTGCATCGGAGACCTACCTGGAGGGCGTGGGCTCTGTCAAAGCGGCTCTCCATGATGCAGCTCGTGTCTTCAAAGCTCCCGGGCACGGGAAACTGACTCACGACCACGACGGTCTGCGTCGGGTCGTCCACGTCGACAACATCAAACGAGAAGTAGGCTTCCGTCGACGCTGGGAGTCCCGTCTCGGCCAAGGTGCGCGGGAGGTTGTAGTACATCTGGTTCATGATCCAGTCGTAGCCCATCTTGCGCGCATTCGGGTCTGACAAGAGCGACCGGTGCCGCCAATTCCGCTGCTCTTGCAGCTGGTAGCACTACGCGAATACTTTGGTTGACAAGCATTCCATCGCGCCGTACCGGAGCCTCGCTGGCTTGCTTCACCCACTGGAACATGATGGACGAGAGGTGCTGCCACCGGCGCAGGTCGTGCTGGAGCGCCTTGTACTCCTCTTCACTCTCTTTGCGCGTCTCGGCCAGCGCGAACGCCACTTCTTTCCATGTCAACGGGCGCCGCACGTTGGCTTTCGCGAGCGACGTTCGCAGCCAGGCGGCGGTGTGGCGCAGCTCGTGGATCTCATCGGCGATGACTTGGCGATGACGGCGCTGGGCGTCGCGCTGCCGCTGCCGCCTTCGTCGCTGCTCGCCCGCTCTCGGCGACGACGCGGCGGCTCTCTCGTCGTCCATGTCGTACTGGAGCTGCTTGGTCGTCAGCATGCGCGACATCGTGCCAAAGGCAAACTGACCGTGTGCGCCAA